TGGGAGGGCTTATGTGTGGAGTGAAGATACTACTTGATTTTCTAGCTTAAGTAGGTCTACCCATTTGCTTCTTTAAAATTCACAGAAGTGGGAAGTTCCTTACCTGGGCAAAGTCATTAGGAGTGTTTATCGCCTGAGCAAAGCTGCTATTTGAGTTGCCAAGTTAAGCTAGTCTAGCTCCTTCATTTCTTCAAAAAGGAAGGAGAGGGGCATCTCCTTGCCAGGCAGAATTGTTGAGGTGGGCTCTGAAACTAGGTGAGTAAAAAATAAGCATAGGGACTTAAAGTAGGTGAAACTTTTCACCATGCTTTTGAAGACACCTAACTATGTGCTGCAGGTTGGCTATAAGGTTGACTGGTATCTGCAATTGGGCACTACAGCTGGCAGGAACACAGAGCTTCCATCAAGATCCACTCTTGTCATTGTGCCTCTTTCTTTGGTTCTATGTGGACATGGGTTGTTTAGCCATACCATTTTTCCTAGAGTTCCCTGTGAGGTAAGGCCAGAGTGGGCTTCCTGGAAAGCATCTGGGAGTGCTAGGGACACATAAAAATAAAAACATGGTAGAATCTAATCAAGTATTTTCCAGGAGAGAGGGTGTTTTCACTGTTTGACCCTAAATCCAATATGCCTGATAAATATATTGATGCTCCTCCATTTACAATGGTATTATCTTCCAGTAAACCCATTATAAATTAAAAAATATTGTAAGTCAAAAATGCATTTAACATATGAACCAACTGAACATCATAGCTTAACATCACCTACCTTAAATGTTCTAAAAATGCGTGTTAGCCTACAGTTGGGCAAAACTATCTGGCAACACAGTATACTGTAGAGTATCAATTATGTACCCTCATGATTGAGTGAATGAATGGGGACTGCAGCTTGTGGCTGCTTCCCTGCAATGCAAAATAATATCATACCACTTTCTATTGAATGTGTAACACCTTCACACTACTGTACACTCAAAACATTCGTCTGTATCCATATGGAATCAAGGAATGTACCCAATTATTGACACATGCTATAAGGTTACACTGTAAGATTGCTGATATTTTAAGTAATTATAAAAATAAAGATCTTGGAGGGAAGAGGAAAGAGTGAGAAAGAGAGAGAAAGTATTAGGTCTACTACCGTGTCCTGAGGAACTCTTAAAAGTATACCCTACTAGAAGAAAAAGCTACCAAAGAAATAGGAAATAAAAGAAACAAAACAAAATGAGGAAAATGTTAAGGAGGTAAAGGGAAAACTATTTAAAAATGAATTGAATAGTCACTTCTTAAATACTGGTGGGAAACCAAGAAAACTGAGTGGGCTTAGAAATAAGAAAATAATTTAACTACCTCAGAAAATTTGGAAGAATTACAAGGATGGGGCAAATTTAGGGAAAAAAAATGAAGGCAAGGATACGGAAGTGGTATCTGGAAAAAAAAAAAAACGTTGAGATGTTTTTGTGAATATCAGATATGTGGATGGTATTTAGAGAAGGATGTGTAATCCCAGCCAAATATTTGTAGGCATGTGTAGTAAATATAAAGAGGTGTCTAATGGGAAAACTTTCATAGAGAAAATAGAGCTAAATATTAGGAATAAAAAATATTTATCAGACAGACGAGTATACCTGATAAATCACAAGTAGAAGAAATGGAAGCTGGGGTCATGCAAACTGGAATACTTCTTCCCATTACAAATGAAAGAAAAAAGAGCAGTATGAGGGCAGAATGAGAGGTCACCTTTGTAGATTTGGAGGCAAAAGAACACAGGAAACCAATAAAATGATCTCTATCTTCTCAGTGAAATTGGACACAATTTCATCAGCCGTAAGAAAAAGAGAATGAACAAGGCAAAGAACATTTGAGGAGTAATAAAACATTTTCTACAATCTCTCTCACTAAAAAGCAGATTTCTCAAAATACGTCTAAAAGGAGAGAAAGTGTAACAAAGCAGTCTCATTGTGTTTATAATTAGGAAGCAGTGAATTTGAATCCTGTTTGTAAACTTTATAAACCTTCCTAACTTTTTTTCATAAAAATCAAAGTTATAAGAAAATTCCCAAATGAAATAAATTCCTTTTCCTGGAATGGGTATGAAGCTTGATAGGAAGATATCTTCATGTAATGCAGCCTCTAGTCTGAGCCATAAAGCTTAGGTAGAACCTGGACAAGAGACAGTAGAAAAAGCAGTGTTCTCAAGATGAAAAGTAAAAGCAAAGGAATGAAAGTAGAAAATGGTAGGTTATCCTGCTGTGCCAAACTCATCGCGGGGTGGGGTGGGGGGGAGCCAAGATGCTATACTTGCTTCTCTTTCCTATCTTCTGAACTAAAGCGCATGTGTGTATGTTAACAATTGTAGTTCCAAAACGCGAAGATAACAATGAAAAGAAAAAACAGACACACATATATTTATAACTATGTATACAGAAGTATGTAACTATATATGCGTGCACACACACACACACACACATCATTAAATGTGGGTCTTACCCTAGAAGGATTTTTTTTTTTTCTGTCTGAAATTCATTTTAAAGTGGGAAAGAGATAAACTAAGGGAATTGATTTTTTTTTTTTTTTTTTTTTTTTTTTTTTTTTTGAGGTGGAGTTTCTCTCTTGTTACCCAGGCTGGAGTGCAATGGCGTGATCTCAGCTCACAACAACCTCCGCGCCTCCTGGGTTCAGGCAATTCTGCCTCAGCCTCCTGAGTAGCTGGGATTACAGGCACGCGCCACCCTGCCCAGCTAATTTTTTTGTATTTTTAGTAGAGACGGGGTTTCACCTTGTTGACCAGGATGGTCTTGATTTCTTGACCTCATGATCCACGCGCCTCGGCCTCTCAAAGTGCTGGGATTACAGGCTTGAGCCACCGCGCCCGGCCGGGAATTGATATTTTTGTTGTTGTTGCTTGGCTGCATGTGTCTATAGCAACAAATTGTCTTAAGAGTGTAGAAATCACAGAAAGTCAAAGAAAATATTATATATTTTTTACTACATGGATTCATGGTAACATAGTTAATGACTTTTTTTTTTTCCTCAGCTCCCCTTTAAACTAGAATCTCTTTCAGAGGTGAGGGTGTCTATAATTTTTCAGTGCAAGGTACACAGGTAAAGATTTCAAACGGTTAAATTGAATGTATGCATAATTTAAATGAGGGAAGAAGAAGGGAAAAATATATTTTTACGTTTGTGCATTATAGCATAGAATTATTTTTTACATCTGAAAAATTAATTTTCATTGTATTCATTGTCATCACTGACTCTTCCTGACTCTGCTATTTGTCCTTAGCCAAACCTTCAGTATAAACTCGTTATTTGTAAGCAGATATGTTAAATCCTCATTAAATCTACACAGATATTACATTTCATTTCTTTAAGTTACATATTTCTTCTCTTCAAAGCTTTTAGCAAGGTACATAATAAATAAATACCTATTGAAATTATCAGATAAGCATGAATTTTATTGGCAGCATATTAGGCAGACATGTCAAGCTGCTTATAACTTTCAAGCCTGGAAGGCTATTCTGGGGTAAACTCCTGAAAAGATTATATTCAAATCTTATAGATATATAAATGAAATCATTGATGTGACTAAACAACTTAAAAAGAATAAAATCTGAATCATACAAGTTTATTTTAAAACGTAATTTATCTTCAAATATAGCTTTGATTGTAAAATCTTTTTGATATTTATGTTATTGTTTTCTGAACTACAGTTTACCAAGCAAATGAAGAGGAAAGGCCATATAAAATGAAAATTAAAAGCTATAAATTTTCATGGGGATTACATTGCTTTAATAAGTAAATGTGTAATTATCTAAAATTAATTTTGCTCATGTCAAGTATTTATATATACTTATACATATATCCTTATATAATACATGTATATAAGGATATATGTATAAGTATATACATATGTAATCTTATACACATATATTTATATAACACATGTATATAAGTATACATAAGTATTTGTATATATCCATGTATATGTTCTCAATATTTATTGTCATTTTAGACTGATATGAATTTGGATAGCGTTTATAATAGGTAGATTCTCATACAAATGTTGAAGCACATTGCAGGCTGAAAAAATTATGTGAAAAACAAATCTTGTCCTTTGTATGTATATATGTAAAGTTACATTCGTTAGAGCTAAAGGTGACAAAACCATATTCAAACAGACTCATCCAGAAAAATCCCCAGATTTTCCAATTTTAAATATGAAAAGAGGTTAGAGTAGTCAAAAATATCTGTAAGTGAATCCAAAGGCCAAAGTTGGTGGTGGTGGGCTTCTGGGAATTAATAACACCATTGGTCAGGGGAAAACTTAAACACATACATTCACTCTCAGCCATGGTATTAGAATGCCAATCTTTCTTCTCTTTGTCCTGACCAGGAGATCTATAGCATAAACATAAAATGACCTCACATTTTGTGGGTAATATCCCCTTTGGGCACCAAGGAAGGAGAACTGTCCAGACCCCAGGCACAATTAGTGCCTGGAGAATATCTCAGTTTATAGTGTTATTACTCAGCTATTTCCTTTATATAAGCTAGATATATGTAAGCAGTAATTTATACTTCAGGCACTAATTCTATAAACTAATATATGATTATATACAAAGATTATATAAAGGAAAAAAACTGAGTAATAACACTATAGACTAAGATATTCTTCAGGCACTAATTGTACCTGGGGTCTGGACAGCTCTCCTTCCTTGTTGCCCATGGGCAAGTGTTACCCACAACATTTCACTCCACAGAAGAGTAGTTTAAGACTCCCCTATGTCCAATACAAATTTAACACGTGCAATATGACTTACTGTTTCAGTTTTATCTTGCTATAACATAAAGGCACAAAGCATAGTGAAAAAAATATTTCAAAGAAAAGGCATTTTCTGATTTATATAACAGTCTCTCTCTCTTCTCCCTGACCACATTGTGGTTTAAAAGGATTTCTTATCAAACTCTCACCATAGCAAAGAAAAAGAAAGCTTCTCTTACCAGAGTGGATAAAGCTTTAACCTTGCTATAGCGTTTTCTGCCGCTCTTGGTTGAAAGACAGATCCACAGCAGCTTTTTGCATACAAGTGATCTGGCTGATCTCCAGTTCCTGCACAAAAAACCAGCATAATTGGCTCTCAAAAAAGTGTAAACATTCATCATGATGGCACTTGCATGTTGAATCTAGTCACTGTTACTCTAGTAGACTTTCTCTAAACAGGCCAATTACATTTCTACTTTCAATACAAGCTATTTGGTTTCTCTATTCAATGCTGAGATTAATATATCTAAAGAACGCATGCATTTGTGAGTGTCAGTTCTGTTATTATATCTGAATGTATGGTCTAAGATTTAAAAAAATACAATTATAAATCAAGATGATATTGCCTGGTACATAAATGTACTTAGCACCTATATGTCTTTATTTTTTAATTTAACAGCATTCAGGCCAGTATTTATATGCTAATGAGATATCAGTGTTATTAAGTCTCTTTCATTTACTATTTGATAAAACTCCAATGAACATTCTGTATCTCTGCTTTGCAAAAAAGCCACATCAATAATGCCTACAATATACCCCAGAGTCTGAGATCAAATGTGCTGCATTTCTAAGTCTCATTAAATATTCCAGTGTTCCTTTGCCTAAAGCTTCAAAGTGACCCAGACGCAATCACATCCTTAAATTTTATGGGAGCAATAAAGAGGTCACAAAGCATTGACTTTTTTCTTATTTTAACATTCAATTTTTCTGAAAGCATTAACTCATTACAATTACAAATGGCATATTTTTGTTATCAAATGAATATGAACACTAGACCAAAAATTAAGTCCCAATAAAAAATATAGTTTCAATTTGTGTCACTCTTTATAATGATCTAAGCAATACATTGATCTTACAACTATATGATTATATAATCTTTGCCTTGCTTCCCATGGGTTTAAAGGATGGTTAAGAGTTATCAGCAGTACCACTTTGAAAAATATTAATTAACTGGATAGAAGGATTTTTTCTTTTTTCATTTTTATATCTGGTATGTTATTTTTCATCATATATACAAATTAAGCAAGTACAACAAAAAAATTTGTGCTTATTTAAATTTATGATTGCTGAAATCTCAAGAAATTACAAATTATGACAATTTATGTCTTTTAAAAGTTAAAAATTTAAATAACTCTATTTGTAAAATTCTATGTATTGCTGAGTTTTAAAATGAAATATTTAATTAGAAACAACCCCAACCTTGAAAGCTAGACATTTCTTATTCACATTTACAGATGTTCGGTGTCATTTAAAGATTTTGATCATAATTCAGAGGACTATACACTGATATATACTAGTCTTTTAAGACAACAGATGTCATTAACCTTCTAATTATGTTACCTAGAGAGTCAGAGTGTGTGGGGAGAACTACATACTGTTCTTTAAAATAGTTTGTATCAGTCAACCCTTATTTATTTTTATTAAACAATTGTCTTTATAAATATTTCCACTAACATTTTCATATTTAATTAGAACAGTGAAGACAGCATTATTAAGTTCTCCATTATATGCATGATATAACTAAGACTCAAAGGATAAAGACTTGAAATTTTTAACTAGTGGATCTTCTGATGTTATTCAGCTATGTTTGAACAACTTTTTCTTTGAAAAAAATTTAATATTTTTCTTTAAGAAAGGTTTGTGTGATTTGGCTTGCTGATTTAAATTGGAGCATAGGCACTTAGTGAATTATTATAACATATTTGAAGCTGTGATACATTGAGACTTTTTCCTATGCCTAATGAATTTGGAAATGATTTGCAAATGCAGTTCAAAAAGACAATTATATATGATGTTAAGTTAAAATGTTTTTTTTTTTAAATTTAAGAATTACCTATTGAATATCTGCTAAGTGACAGGTTCTTTGTTAAGTTCTGAGATTATGGTAATGAATAAGATAAATATTTCTACTTTATGTAATTTTTGATGTAGAAATGAAACTAGCCCAAGATAAAAATTTGTTTAGAACATTTGAGTGGCAGTGAGTTAATTTATAAATTCATTAATTGACAAAAAAATCCATAAGATATCAGAATTTTTGTGCCTTTATTACAAAAAAAATTCTATTCATTCTAAAAAAGTATAGCTGAAAATATTGAGATAATCATTTTAGAATAATTCTGAAATTCTTAATGTGTACATTTTAGAAGACAATTGCAGACATTTTTACTAGTTATTTTCCAATGTATGCCATTTGTTTTATATATATATACGTATATCTACATAGATAAATAGTAATGTTAAGGTCTTGATTAGATAATGAAATTTGGAACAGTTAAACTATTACATAATGTGATTGTAGGAGTAAATCAATTTCTCAATTAAAAGTTATTGTTAACACCTCCCTTTCTAAATGAATATATTAAAATAAAATAATGAAGGCAAAATTAGTTGTCATAAGATAGCACATTAGTTAAATGACTTAGAGCATTTATATATTCTAGCTATTTTAAGTTTCTTTGCAAGTACTGGAACACATGGTTTTACTGCAATTTGTTTTATCGTACTTTTCAGATATTGTAGTTTTACAAATTCAACGTTTGTGATAATGCTGCATTGAATAAATCTGTCAGCACTATTTTTCTAATACCAAGGGCTCACTTTGTGTCTCTTTGTCACAAGTTGGTCATTCATACAATATATCAAGTTTCTCCATTATCATTATAGCTTTTATCTGTTTCATTATCATTATATCTATGATCATTAACATTACTCTTATAATTGTTATGGGGCACCACACACCACAATCATATAAGACAGTGAAATGTTGTGTGTTCAGACTGCCCCACTCACCAGCTGTTCTTCTTAGTTTTCCTTCTACTAGATACTCCCTATTCCCTGAGACACAACAATATTGAAATTAGGCCAATTAATAGCCCTACAATGGCATCTAAGTTTTCAAGTGAAAGGAAGAGTCATACATCACTCACTTTAAGTCAAATGGTAGAAAATATTAAATTTAGTGAGGAAGGCATGTCAAAAGCCAAGACAGGCTAAATGCTAGGCCTCTTATGCCAAACAGGCAAGTTGTAAATGCAAAGGAAAAAGTTATTAAAAGTGCAAGTCCAGTGAAAACATAAATGATAAGAAATCAAAACAACTGTATTACAGTTATGGAGATAGGTTTAGTGGTCTGTATAGAATATCAAACCAGCCACAACATCCACTTAAGACAAAGCCTAATCCAGAGTAAGGCCCTAATTATTTTCAATTCTATGAAAGCTGAGAGAGTTAGAGGAAGCTGCAGAAGAAAAGTTTGAAGCTAGTAGAAGTTGGTTTATGATATTTAAAGAATGCTGCCCTCTGTATAACTTAAAAGTGCAAGGTCAAACAGCAAGGGATGATGCAAGAAGCTGAAGCAAGTTATCCAGAAGATCAGGCTGAGACAACCGATGAAGGTGGCTACACTAAACAACAAATTTTCAATGTCGATGAAACAGTCTTCTAACAGAAGATGGCATTCCAATAAAACAATGAAATCATGAAGAAAACAAAGTAATTAGGTAACAATATGATGACTGGAACAATATGTCACATCTCAATAGTAACTCTGAATGCCAGTTATATAAATGCTCCACTTAAATGATACACATTGTCAGAATGGATACAATAATCACAAACCAAATACTGCTGTCTTCAAGAGACACATTTAATCATCTAAGAATTCTTATAGACTCAAGGTAAAGTGACAGAAAAATATATTCCACACAAATAGAAACCAAGAGCAAGCAGGAGTAGCTATTTGCATATCAGATAAAACAGACCTTAAAATAACAAAAGTTAAAAAATAAAAAAGACGAAGGTGATTGTATAATGATAAAAGGATAATCCAACAAGAAGATGTTATAATCCTAAATATATATGCACTGGAGCTCCCAGATTCACAAAATTATTGCCACTAGACGTGTGAAAAGAGACAAACATCAATACAATAATAGAAGGGATTTCAACATTCCACTGACAGCATTAGACAAATCGTTGAAGTAGAAAGTCAATAAAGAAATATTGGACTTAAAGCGTACTCTAGAGAAAATGAACCTAACAGATATTTACACAACATTCTACCCAAGAACTGCAAAATATATGTTATTCTCATTAGTATCACTCTCCAAGATAGAACATGTAATAGATCACAAAACAAGTCTTAATAAATTTTTAAAACTTGAAAAAATATCAAATATCTTCTCAGATTATAGAAAAAATAAAACTAGAAATTAATCCTAAAAGGAATATATGGAAATTAAACAATCTACTTCTGAATTATGTTTAGGTTAACAATAAAATCAAGACAAAAATCTAAAAATTATTCAAAATGAATGATAACAGTAACACAAGTTATCAAAACCTCTGTGACACTGCAAAAGCAGCTAAGAGGAAAGCCTATAGCCCTAAATATCTACATCAAAAATTCTGATAGATCACAAATTTACAACTAACATCACACCTTAAGGAACTAGATAAACAATAAAAAATAAACTCAAAGCTAGCAGAAAGCAACAGCAACAACAACAAAGATTAGAGCAGAACTATTTTTTTTTTTAGCATAAGCTGGCATTTTTATTAGACAGTCACAGTATTTAAAAGTAAGAAGAATGTTATGACATGTAAAGAAATCAGGTATAAATAAATTTTAAGGTCAAGCCATTGAAGAAATTACAATCTGGTATATTAGGCTTGTATTTTTTTCTTTTTTTTTTCTGTTCAGATATGATAACTTTTCTACACAGTGTTGTTTCAATTCTTCTTCTTCTTTTTTTTTTTTTTTTTTTTTTTAGCATTTTTAACAGCTTTATTGAGGTAAAACTGATAAACAGGGAACCACGGATATTTGTAGTGTATAATTTGATAAGTTTTGACATATGTACATGCCCATGAAACCACCACTAAAATCAACATAATGAATGTATTCATTATCCCAAATAGTCTCCTAGTGACCCTTCATAATTTTACCCTCCAGTCCTTCCCCGCCTCTCCACCTTGCCATCCCAAAAGCACCACCAAACAAAAACTGACCTATTTTCTGTGACTTAGTATTTAGAACTAAGTTAATTTGAAATAAATAATACAAA